AAAAAAAAAAAAAGAAATTACCAAATGTAAAATTTTCATTTCAGTGGTTTGTAGCTGTTCTTTGTTTGTTTGTTTTACAAATTATGTCACTGGAGAGATGGCTTAGTGTTAAGGGCACTTGGTGTTCAGAAGATGGATTCAGTTCCTAATACCCATGTGGCAGTTTAAAATCATCTGTACATAACTCCATTTCTAGGGGATTCAAAGACCTCTGTGGGCACAGATGTGATGCACATACATGCAGGAAAACACCCATACATAAAAATAAGATAATAAGTAAAAAAAAAATTCAGAAAATTATGAAACTGTCACCAAAATAGTTTCAGGGCTTTTCTGTCACTTTAAAGGCTCTCTTATGTACATTACTTAGTCTTTATAACAGCTTTGTTGAAGTGTTGACTTACTACACACATTTAAGTCACCAATAGGAAGGTGTTTATACAAAGCTATAGTTACCACAAATCAGTGTTTTAGGACATTTTCTCACAAAACAAACAAAGCAAAAACAATAAAAAAAGAACTTGATTATGGTCTGGAGGAAGCATAGCATCCCTTTAATCTCAGAACTTGGAAGGTAGAAGCAGGAAGGGCAGAGTCCAGGGCCGTCCTCAACTACATTGAAAGTTTGTGGTGAGGATGGGTTACAGGCTCACACCGAAACCCAAACCAACCCTGTACCTACAGCAACTACTTTCCGGCTCCTGTCTCTGGCCCTCGGCAGCAGCTAGTCTCATCTATACTCTATCTCTTTGGTTTGACTTATTCTGATTTTTTTTTTCTTTTGGTTTTTTGAGACAGGGTTTCTCTGTGTAGCCCTGGCTGTCTTGGAACTCACTCTGTAGACTAGGCTAGCCTCAAACTCTCGAACTCAGAAATCTGCCTGCCTCTGCCTCCCAAGTGCTGGGATTAAAGGCGTGCGCCACCACCGCCCGGCTGAATATTTTTGTATTAAATAGAATCAAACAGTATGTAGTCTATCATTTAGAATAATAGCCTCAAGATTTATCTGTTATATGTATCACTTCTTGCTAAATAATATTCCATCATACAAATGTCTTATATTTTATTTGTCTGTCTGTCTGTCTGTGTGTTGCTAGGGATCTGTCTCAGGGCCTTGTAACAACTAAGGCAGTTGCGCACCACTCCGGTTTTCAGAGTCTTGCTAAGTGGCTCATGTAGGCCTTAAATCTTCGTGACCCTCTTGCTGTTCTACCTTCTGAGTACTGATGTTAGAGACACACTCCATTCTTCCTGGCTGTATTTTGGACTTTTCAGTACTTGTTCAACTGTAGCTGTGCTATTTTTCATTTCTTCTGGGAGTGAAAGAGAGTTCCAGTTTCCCAAACACTTCTTCTTTTCATTTTTGTTTTATTTTTTCCATGACAGGGTTTCTTTGTGTAACAGCCTTGGCTGTCCAGGAACTCACTTTGTAGACCAGGCTGTCCTCAAACTCAGAAATCTACCTGCCTCTGCCTCCCAAGTGCTGGGATTAAAGGTGTGCGCCACCACTGCCCAGCCTGGTGCCCCTTTAATACTTGAACCATATATTTGTATTTTTCCTTTCTCAGCTTGCTCCTTTTCATAAAAAGGTTCTTCATAAGACTAAACCAGATAACAAAGTCTCTGTTAAGCTTTTTTGAGACTTCCTTTGTCAGTGCAATTAGTCTAAATCTCTTTATCTTAGCCTCAGGTAGACTCTTCAGATAAAGACAAAAAGCAGTCACATTCTTCACTAAAATACCACAGAAACAGTCTCTAGGCCACATGCTGAAATTCTTCTCCACTAAAACCTCTTGGGCCAGGTCTGCTCAGTTCAAATCACTCTCAGCAACAGTCTTCCATATTCCTACTAGGACAGCCCAGTAAGCCCCCCTTTAAAGCATTCTACTGCTTTCCAAATCCAAAGTCCCAAATCCAACAAACAGAAGGCCTATCACAGCAATACCCCACTCCTAGTACTACTTCTGTCTTAGTCAGGGTTTCACTGCTGTGAGCAGACACCATGACCAAGGCAACTCCTATAAGGACAACATTTTATTGGGGCTGGGTCAGAGGTTCAGTCCATTGTCATCAAGCCAGGAGCATGGCAGCATCCAGGCAAGCATGGTGCAGGTGGAGTTGAGAGTTTTACATCTTCATCTGAAGGCTGCTATGAAAAGACTGGCTCCCAGACAGTGAGGGTCTTCAATAAAGCCCATGTCCATAGTAACACTTACCCCAACAAAGCCACACCTCCTAATGGTGCCACTTCCTGATCCAAGCATACATATACAAACTATCACAGTTATGTTGTGCTGGGTACTGGACCCAGGTCTCAGACAGACTACACAAAAAAACTCACTTTACCACTGAGCTATACCTCCAACCTCTTGCTGGGCTGTTTTAAAGACAGCAGTGCACTTACATAGAAACACATTGGGGTAGGGACACATATTCGTAAGCATAGATGCTTATAGCTCAGCCAGCCGTACCAAGAACAGTAATGGGTTATGTGTGGTATGTCTCAGCATAAGTGGACCTCTTTTCTTTCTTCCCCTTTTCAACCTCTTTTCTTTTTTAAAAGATTTATGTATTTGTATATATGAGCAGTCTGTTTTCCTGTACATCTACATGATAGAAGAGGGTATCAGATCCCATTACAGATGGTTGTGAGCCATCATGTGGTTGCTGGGAATTGAACTCAGGACCTCAGGAACAACAACCAGTGCTCTTAACCCAACTGAGCCATCTCTCCAGCTCCCAACCTCTTTTCTGCTTGGTTTTGATTTGTCCTTTCCACAGGCATTCCCATCAAGAGCACAATGGACAATCCCACCACTACACAGTATGCCAACCTCATGCACAACTTCATCTTGAAGGCGCGGAGTACTGTGCGTGAGATTGACCCCCAGAATGACCTAACCTTCCTTCGAATTCGCTCCAAGAAAAATGAAATTATGGTGGCCCCAGGTAAGGGTTCTTGTGCCTTCACATTTAGCTTCTGAACCTGTAGCAGCTTCTCTGTGGCTCATCAGGAAAGTGGCACAGTAATGTCTCCACAAGTTCAAGGTAGGCCTAGTGTTTAAAGAGTCTACTCTTCATTGCCTAGTCACTGTCGGGTGGCACCCACCAGTGATCTTCAGCAAGTCTCAGAGAAGAACTGTGGTTTCATGAGGGAGAAAGACACAAACATTAATGCTGGTCATTCTCAACTTGGTAAGAATTCCTTAAGAATTGGGACATGGAAGTGTTGATCAGTTCTGCCTGGGCAATCAACAAAGATTTCTCAGAAAAAGGAATGTTGGAGCCAAATCTTAAGAGCCAGGAAAATATGAGTCAGAATGGTAGAAAAGCTATCTCTATATGAAAGAGAATTTATACTCCTGTCTCCAACCCATGTAGCCAGCTCTCTACCACCACTGGAACAGATTGCTATTTTGAATCATCAGTAAAAAGCTTGGCTGGGTAGTATAAGCATGCCAGTGTTTAGGCCCCTGGAGCATTCTCAGTGTAAAGAGATGCTCACACTGGGAGGAGTGTACAAGGATGGGAACTACAGAGGGAAGGCCTGGGGATGCCTCCTGCTCTGCCTCCTCTAACTCACACTCACAGACTAGAGTGACAGGCAGATTCTACAGGACTTCTGTGTGGTTACCTCTCCTTGTCCTTCTGCCAAGCCATGGCTGGACATGCAGGAGTTCTTATATAATGGTGCCTCAGTTTGCAGAACATGTTAACTAAGGAAAGTATAAAAAGTGGATCCAACTTAGAAGGTGCCTCAGACTCCAGACTCGGCTGTGTGGATCTGATCCTGTGGGCTGAGGTGCTTATGGCAGGAAGCACTATGATTATGAGTGCTAGGAGTGGTAGCACATGCTTTTAATCCCAGTACTCAGGAGGCAGAGGCAGGTGGATGTCTGAGTTCAAGGCCAGCCTGGTGTAGAGTGGTTTCCAGGACAATCAGAGCTACAGAAACCCTGTTGGGTGTGGGGGCACCAGCCATTCCCAGCAGCAGACCAGTGTGGCTTCTGTTCCCAGCCTCCTCTGCTCCAGCCCAGTCTGCCTGGCTAGAATGATGGGAAGGAGAACCCAAATCACTCACAGAAGAACTGTCAGTGCATTTATTCTAAAAATGTGCTGTGTGTGCTGATTTAACATAGCTCTCCCCCAGCCACACCTATAAAACATCAGGTAGAGGTCTGTGCTGTTGTGATCCTCTGGGATATACACCAATAGGAAGACTGTGTAAGATCATAGAGCAAAACCTTACAGTCAAATTTTAATGAAAAGTCCAGCCCTATCCCAACTCCCTGCTATGGGACAATGGAGGACAGATCTCTGTCCATAAAACTGGGATTGGGGATCATCTTTGCACTTAGTGGTTAGGTCAGTACAGACTTGAGGTGCCTAGTGGCAGACCGAAAAACTCAGTGTGAAGGACAGATGACATGGTGCCACAGAGACAAATACTTAGTAGATAGTGTCTCTCCACCTACTGTGTAGACAGTGTCACCTAAAGCTCTAAAGCTCCAGAGATGTCTGGGAGTCCTGACCACGCAGGTCTCAGCTCAGTGCAATAGCATCTCCAATTTGTCCTTGAAAACCATGGATATTCAGAGTCTCTGAGGATTATTGGTGTTTGAGTTGGGGTTCACAGACTAAGTGGCTCTAGTCTCATCAGTGAAAATGAGTGGCCAGACCCTCATATGGACAGAATTTGGGAAAGTATGCAGGGAGTGTACATGCTGGCACTCGACCTGCCTGGTGGTTTGGTGTCTATCATTCATACTGTAGTTATGCTGAAGGTTGTGTGACATGTTGAGGTAACCATAAACAGTGCTGTTTCTTGGGGCCACCACACTGCTACATCCCCCTTCCTGGGGCCTTCTCACACCATCCTCCTGCTAGAACAAGCCTTTGATTCCTTACTGCTGTGCTAACCAGCTACTTAGCTACATTTCCACTGTCTTCTGTTTTTCATAGTAAGTTCCATGAGGGCAGGGACTTGTAAGCACAGTATTTAATAAATACATTCAACAGATGGCTTTTGTTTTGAGATAAGGTTTCTCCATACAGCCTAAGTTGTTCTGGAACTTACTATGTAGACCAAGCCAGCCTTGAAGTCAGACACTGCCACTCAGGTACTGGGATCAAAGGCATATGCCACCATGTCTTGTTCCCAGATGGCTTTAATTTCCGTCCGTTGCAGATTCCCCTTATTGTGGATTAGGGTGGGTTCAATAGCATGTCTGGGACATACATACATCTGTGTATTTGTGCCTGGGAATGTGTATGTCAGTGTAGTATCAGTGGGGGTCAAAAGACAGCACCAGATCCCCCTGAAGCTGGAGGAACACAACACCCTGAGTGCTAGGAACTAACTGCAGGGCCTCTGCAAAAGCAGCGAGTGCTCTTAGCCAGTTGCTGAGCAGTCTCTCCAGCCCTGGGACGATATATTTCAGATGAAAATCAGCACTACATACTTTTATGTACCCAGTTTTTATGTGGTCAATACAAAAATGCTGAGTTTGGGGCTAGACTGCCTGGGGACTGACGCAGGGCAGCCCCAGCGTGGTCCCACCGGGCAGTGTGGGGGACTGCAGTGACCTTGCCTACAAGAAAGGTCCAGTCTCTTCTTACAGAAATGGACTGTGGTGGTGTCTCAGAAGTTTAGCAATTCATATTTTATCAAATGAAGGTATGTAATATAGTTTGAGTTCTTGACCTCACTGATGTAGCACAGAGCAAGTTTCCTCCCACATCCTGGCTGTCCAGATGGCTCAGCCAGTAACGGCTCTTGTTACTAAACCTGACCACCTGAGCTTGAGTCTTGGCTTCTACATGGTAGAAGGCTAACCACTTTGAGAAGCTCCTCCAAGAACCACTCTTCTGAACTCTGCCTGCCTGCTCCAGCATGTACATGAGCACGGAAAGAGCACAGTTCTAGACGTACGATCACAAAACACTGCCTCCTACAGGTACTGATGTAGTACTGCAGGATTTAGAACTTTTGTTGGTTGTGTATATTTTTGCTCTTAGCTTGTTAACTATGTACAGATTGCTTAGCTATGAAATTGTAGTCACTTGTAGTGGTTAGTTGTCATGGTTTATTAGTACAATAGTAGCCCAGTAGCTCCCATCTAGAGTGATTTTGGGGTTCGTTGAGGTGCCACCTGAGAAACCTAAAAGATGCCATCACAGAGCTACTCCTGGCATAGGGATATAGGTGATGCCTAGAACGTAAAGGGCAGTTTCTGTATACCTGCAGACTGCTGTCCTTCTCATTGGGATCAGAGCATCCGTGCACGAGCCTACATCTAAAATACACTCCACAACTTCAGTTGACATGCTTGGGGAATAGAGCACCTGCATCCAAAACCCATAAATGAATCTGGGATTGAGGGTGTACATCCGTGTGCTTGACTAGCATTTATAAGACCCTGGCTTTAAGCCCCAGTACCACAAGACAATGATCAACATCAGTGAGGTTTGCCCAGACAGACAACACTTTGCCCTGTTTTCTTGAAAAATGAGGCCTATCCATTTCTGTGCAGAATCTGATTCATGAGACTATCACTGGAAAATGCTTCAAAGAAGCAGATAACTTCCTGTGACCTTTCACAGTTTTCTTGGGTGGAGGATGCACATCAAGGAAGGTACAGATCAGCAACAGAACAGAACAGGTCAGTCGGCAGGCTTCACAGCCGGCAGGCTTCACAGCCGGCAGGCTTCACAGGATGGACTAAGGCATCTGCCAGTCATATCATTCAAATCTCACTTACATTAATGTGTGTGTGTCCATGTTGCGTGCACACATGCACACTCAACTGCAGAGGTTAGAGTACAAGCCTTAGGAAATGGTGGTTTCCTTCTACCATGGGGTTGAACTCAGGTTATCTTACCAGCCTCCAAATCTTACCTTGTTTAATAATAAAAGTTAAACGAGTATGTATGCTGCAGAGGCAGTTCACCTGCAAGTGAAGACTTTACTCCCATCAGCCATTTGGCAGGAGACAGTAAGGAACTCGTAGGTTATTTCCTGTTCCCAGCTGCGGAAAGTAGCCACTACTGCTCTTCTGAAAGCTTTCTTCCCTCCTGCATTGTATGGCTAGTGATTACTGTTAACCGTCTCCTGGTTTATATGTAGTGATTTGTTTTTCTCTTTTTCAGATAAAGACTATTTCCTGATTGTGATTCAGAATCCAACTGAATAATCCATCCACTGTCTTGGCTTCCTGTGTCATTCCTTAATTTAATGTCCCCCAAGAATAATAGTGTTAATCATGTCAGTGGGCACATGGTGGTTGCCTGAGAGCCCATGAAGACCATACCATTGATCAAGGGTAGCTCTGCCCACCCCACCAAGGAGTGCCTCTGATGACCCAGTCAGTCCCCAGGACAGCTCAGTTCTCATTTCCAGGCTTTGGAATGAGAGCTTATGATAAGCCCACACCCAGCTTCCTTCTGACCCTCAGTTCCCTTTGTCCCCTTGGAAAGCTGTTTTGTTTCTTAAACTAAAAATTACTTCAACCCCCTACTGGCTGCTGTGTCTTTACTAGATTGGAAAGGCATGGTCCTATGTTAGCACATGGTCAGCTGGACACACCCACAACTTCTAGCCACTGGCAGGTTTTCATGGTCCCTGGGCCTGCTCCTCCTAGCACCTGTGGCACACTTCCTGGACAAGGCTTGGTATGTACTCATGCCCTGGTTCCTGGGCCTTTTATTTTAGACCCTCTTTCTATTACATTGCCCTAAGCAAAGGAAGAGAGTGGTGACTACCGAGTACCCACAATGCACCTGGTGTACCTCAGGAGCTCACATCATTGGGTTAAAACTACCCGAGAGCTGGGGACCTGGGAGAAACACAGGTGGAAAGGAACATGTAGTTCCTGGAATCTCACAGCTAGGAACATGCGTCCCTAGGTAGCCAACTCTTTCTACACTGTCTTCCTCAGAACTCTGACCCTATCCTTGCTGGTGAGTTCATTCATGGTGATCATCCTTCTGCCCACAGCATTGTTGTGTGCAAGAGGGCCCTTACCAGACGCTCTTCCCCAGACCCTAGATACCCACCCTGCTGAAACCCTGTACTTGCCATTCCAGTCTTGTCTTTTGTTCCTTGTTGCACAAAGAGACTGGTGCGCTCTCTAACTCCAGTTGATCAGACACTGAGTTAGAACACACTGTTTAAGAAATAGAATGTACAGGAACTAGAGTGGTTGCTTTGCAGCTGAAGTGTATGCTGTGCTTGCAAAGGACCTGACCTCAGTTACCAGCATATGTCAGGCAGCTGACAACCACCTGTAACTAACTCTAGCTTCAGGGAATCCCATACCCTCTCCTGGCCTCCAGGGACACCTGTACTCATATGCATATACCCACATAATAACTTAAAATCTTAAAAATGTTCTGAAAGGTTATGGTTGGGCTCAAGAGAGCACACAGCCTGGCATATGCAAAGCCCTGGGGTCAATCCCCAGAGTCCCATAAACTGGTCATGTATCTAGTTAGGGGCCAGCCTGAGATATATGAAACTGTGCCTTTAAAAAGCAGATTCAGAATGAAAAGAGACTGAATTTGAAAGCGCATGGAGAGTTGGGAGGGTTTGGTGGGAAAAAGGGAAGAGGGGAAACAATGTATTTATATTATAACCTCCAAAATAAAATTAAAAAGCTATAGAGATGGCTCAGAACTCAGAGCACTTTGTGCTCTTCCAGAAGACCCCGGTTCAGTGTCCAGCACTCAATGGGGCAGTTCACAGATGTCTATGGCACGTGTGCATGAACACACATGCACATACTTAGGCTGGAAATGGTGGCTTAAATTAGCAATACCAGCACTCATAGGGTAGAGGCAAAAAGTTTGGGGCCTGGCCCAGGAGGATTGGGGGAGGGGCAGGTAGCTCAGTTGATAAGAAGCCTGATAGCCTGAGTTTGGTTTCTGGTATCTGTGTTTGAAGAGAAAACCAGCTCTTGCTGGCCTCATAGCTGCTATGGCACTCCACACCCCTAGCCCCTCCCCCACCACACACACATACATAAATAGTTTTAAAGTTCAGGCCAGGGCTACAACATCTCTTTGTGGCCAGACCACATTCCTGGGTAGCACTTACCCCATTTGGTTCTGCCCTGACTACCTGGCTGAAGTCTGCTAACTGAAGGAACAAAACTTAAAAACAGCCCTGACTCCCTCAGTTGGGTGCCATCCTGAGGGATTAGGATGTTGCACAAGTCTGTCTTGTAACTGACAATAAAATTCTGAATATCCTTCAAGACAAAGTTTGCCTTGCCCCTGATCTTTTTTTTTTTTTTTTTTTTAGGATTTATTTATTGTATGTATATGAGTACACTGTCGCTGTCTTCAGACACACCAGAAGAGGGCATCAGCTCTCATTACAGATGGTTGTGAGCCACCATGTGGTTGCTGGGAATTGAACCCAGGACCAGAAGAGCAGTCAGTGCTCTTAACCACTGAGCCATCTCTCCAGCCCAGCCTACATCATCTTAAATGGAGAAAAACTCAAAAAGCATTTCCATTAAGATCAGGAACAAGACAAGAATTCCATGATTCCCACCTCAGTTCAACACAGTACTTGAAGCAATAAGACAAATCAAGGAGACGAAGGAAATACAGATAGTAAAGAAAGAAGTCAAAATATATTTGAAGGTCACACAATTCTGTATTTAAAGACCCTAAAGAATCTGCTAAAAAACTCCTACAGCTGATAAATACATTGAACAGAGTAGCAAGACACAAACTTAACACACACGAAGTGAGTAGTGTTCACATGTATACAAATGACAAATAAGGAAACAGGACTACTCACAACTGCCTTAGAAATAGCTTAAAATAAATCTAACCAAAACTATGGAATTATATAATAGACAAATCAAAAAGGGATTGTGAAAACAATACCAAACAACAACAAAAAAAATCTGCTGGAGGTACCTCACTTGTTTATTGCTGTGATAAAACACCACGACCAAAGTGTTTAATTTGGTTTATCATTCCAGAGTCAGCCATGATAGCAAACTGAAGGAACAGCTGAGACCTCACATTTTGATCCACAGCTGCTGGCAGAGAGCACTGGGAATCCCAGCCGCTTTGAAACCGTAAAGCCTGCCCACAATGACACACCTCCATCTTCCAAAACAGTTCCACCAACTAGAAACCAATATGAACCTATGGGGGCTCATTCAAACCAGCACAGGAGATAGCACCATCCCGGATACCAAGTCTTGGAGTCTCAGTCTTGGAGTCACCTGAGTTTTGACAAACCAACAATAGAAATTGATGAGACAGGATCTTTAACAGTCTTTTTTAGAAACTAGAGGCTGGGACAGGGTCTCTATATGGTCTTGGAACTATGTAGACCAGGCTGGCCTTAAACTCAGAGATCCTCGCCGGGCGGTGGTGACGCACGCCTTTAATCCCAGTACTTGGGAGGCAGAGGCAGGTGGACTTCTGAGTTCAAGGCCAGCCTGGTCTACAGAGTGAGTTCCAGGACACCCAGGGCTACACAGAGAAACCCTGTCTCAAAAAAAAAAAAAAAAAAAAAACCCTCAGAGATCCTTATCCCTCTGCCTTCAAAGTACAGAAGTAGGAATGCAGCTCACTATTCACAACAGACAAGACATGGAAACAAAGTAAATGCCCATCAACTGATGAACAGACGCAAACATGGCACATTTACACAACAGATTATTACTTATCTAATCAGAAAATGGAATTATAAAATCCACAGGTAAATGGACAGAGCTGAAAACAGTCATTCTGAGTTAGGTAACCCGGAAGCAGGAAATCAAATGTCCTGTTTTCTCTCATCTGTGGATGTTAGCTTTAAATCTTCAGATATCTGTATTTCACTTGCAATACTCAGGAAGATCAGAAAGTACTAAGGCGTCATGTTCAAGGGAAAGGAGAGAAGCTGCACTGGTGTGAAGAAATCATGACTAGGAAAAGTTAACTAGGGTAAGGGCGTGGAGGGTGAGGTAGAGGACACAGTAGAGCAAGGATCAATAACATTGATGGTCTTTTGAAAAAGACAGAAAGCTACTACTGCAGACGCTCTCCTAAATCTACACACACACAAAGTTAAAATCAAATTACCATGTTAATAGGACAACAGTACCCCTCCTAGACATCAGAGGTTAACAAAAGATCCAGTGCCAGGTATGAGTTGCTTCTAGTGACATGGCTGGCCACTCAGGTCCCAAATACTACAGGTGACGACCACTGCTCTTGGTCACCCCACTGCTCTTGGTCACCCCACTGCTCTTGGTCACCCCACTGCTCTTGGTTACCCCACTGCTCTTTGCTGTCCTCCAGACAGCATTGCTGCAGTCAGCATATGCTTCAATGTGCTTATGCTTAAATCATAGAACATGACAATCAAGCTGATACAAACCCGGAAGCTTTATCCCTAGCTTTGATAATCCAGAAAGGTACTATGCAAGTTACTGGAGAGAAAGTTATCAGTCGTACCCAGCTATGAGCCCTTCAAGCTACACAATGACTGGCCTGGAAATACAGGCTCCCTGGCTTAATAGTGGCCCAAACATCATGGCAAGAACCAACCACTTTTTGATTCAATCTAAATCCTCTACAGGATGAAACACATACCTGGCAACACTACTTGGCTAAGAACCTGTGGCTAAACAGGTCACAAGCCCTGGGGGAGAGCCTACTGTTACTGTGCGGCTCGATGGACCCAGTATTAAACTGAGTCCTAATGACTTACAGTCTGTCCATCGATCAGTGTACTTCATTGTCTGAGAGACTTCTAATTGCAGTAGATGGTGATTAATACAGAGACTCACTGCAGAAACTAGAGGAGACTATAGGATGCTCACACCTACATAAGCACATATATAAGGAAACATATATGATGCACCCGTCTCCCAAGGCTAAGGGATCATTGCAGAAGAGGTGGAGGAAAGTCCGAGACATTGGGTGATGAGAAAACATCCTTGGGACACACCAGGGCAGCTGCCCCTGTAAACTCTTCACAGTTGCAATAGCATGTACAAAACCTGTTCATCCCAAGGCACACCAAATCATAGCAAGGAGGGAGAAATACACAATCCCATTCCAGGCCATGAAACTACTAGCAACTGTTAGCTGCTGGGAGAGGAAGAGGAGATTTTCTCTAAGAGTGTATGCCCTGGTAATGGTAATTTGACCATGCTCCAGTAGAAGACCACAGTCCAAGAATATTAGACACCACAAAATTGGCCTTGGAGGATTTTTAAAAAAAAAAAAAAAGCCACAAACATGGATGGGCAGAGAAAGGGGGTAAATTAGGGAAAAACATTTAAAAGGGGGGGGGGGCTGGAGAGATGGCTCAGCAGTTAAGAGCACTGCCTGCTCTTTCAGAAATCCTGAGTTCAATTCCCAGCAACCACATGGTGGCTCACAACCATCTGTAATGGGATCTGATGCCCTCTTCTGGTGTGTCTGAAGACAATGACAGTGTACTCACATACATACAATAAATAAATATTAAAAACAAAAAACTATGAAACTCTGAGAGGC